CCCCCCCCCCTTTTTTCTGGAAGTTGTTGTTTCCCCTGCCTCATGAAATTGTATCCTAAGCAATCACAGCCAAGGACTCAATGGATATTGAATTTGTAGACGTCTGTCTCTACATAACTCTCTTCTCTGTGGCACTCTGATTTATAAAGTTTAGCCATCTTTGCCTCCCTAAATTCCAATTTTTATTTGAATGCTCACTTTGGTTCCAGTTTTCTGGGATCTGTTTGGGTTCCCTTACCCTGAACCATGTCCAGAATTGCCTCTAATCTGAAGCTGGGACTGTTACTGGGCTAATAAAAATACATGCACCTGTAATTTAAAAATTTAAATTTTTATTTGCCTGAATTTCAAGTAAAGAGCAGATACTTTCTAAGTATCAATATGTCTCAAATGTTGCATGGGACATACTTTCACTGACATTTTTTGTCTGAAATTCTAATTTAGCCTAGCATCCCATATTTTACCTGGAAATCATATATTTATCATAATTTCTAATTGTTTCCTGTAGGAGGACATTTCTGTAGTAGTTACTCCTTCATTGATAGAAGCAATGTTACTTGTTTATGGACGCTGTACATTGTGAATCTCACATTGTTGATTTTCTCACCTTGTTGTCTTTTCTTTTTTTTTTTTTAGATTATTTATTTATTTATTGAGAGAGAGAGTTCACAAGTAGGCAGAGAGGCAGGCAGAGAGAGAGGGGGAAGCAGGCTCCCTGTAGAGCAGAGAGCCCAATGTGAGGCTTGATCCCAGGACCCTGAGATTACAACCTGAGCCGAAGGCAGGGGCTTAACCCACTGAGCCACCCAGGTGCCCTTGTTGTCTTCTTTTAAAGAGTGTTGAAATTTGCTTTTCTGATAACTAAGTAATTTAAGGCTCTGCTTGATCATTTTGAAGTTTTTTTTTTAAGTTTCCTTCTGATGTTTCCAGAGTATTCTAGGGCTGTTCAGTCCATTATTAATACATGACCCTTCTGGAGTTTCTGTTGAACAACAAGTTCTCTCTCCTGTGGCTATTCACAGTGCTCCTCTCTCCCAGGCCTATGTGAACTTTGGGAATTGTTCAGCTCCAGTCTCTCTGATGGTTGTTCTTTTTCTGCCTTATAGAGATTTACCTTATATTAGCACAGATAATATTCAACCAAAGACTCAGGAGGATCCCTATGTAGATATCTGGAGTCTTTTCTGGTACTTTACCCTGCAAATTCTAACTACCTCAGCTACCCCACACTTTGATCTCTGTCTCCTGAACTCAGGCCACGGTTCTCTCTCTGGTCACAATCTCTCTCCTTGCAATGCAGTCTGGAAAGTGCCTAAAAGAAAGCATAATGCTGATGTGCCCCTAGGGCTCACTTTATCTGATTGCCTTCTTTGGGGATCAAAGTCCTGTGCTACCTGTTATCCAATATCTAAGAACAGTCCTCATATAGTGTTTTCCATTCTTGTGTTGTTTATGGTGGACTTTATTATGGCCAGAAGTGGAAGTCTTATTTTTAAAATATCCTTGATCTGTGAGGTACTGAGTGGTTCTTAGTCTCTTTATAAATTCTGCATGTGGGGGAATAACTGTTTTATATTTATGTTGGTAAATTCATATGTATTTTGTTTCTCAGTTGAAAGTGAAACCAGGAAGAACACAATTCTAAAATATTGTTGCATGTTGTCCATTGAGCTTTATGCTCTAGGCAGGTCAAATTATTTCTTACATCCCAGGATCCAGCATAATATGAAGAACAGAGTAGATGTATGATAAGTACATAACGATTATAAGAATAAATTAATAAGTGGCAAGGCATGGAGATGGGAACTGGCAGCTGGTTCCTGATTTGCAGATCAAATAATTTGAATATTGCCTTGCGGACAGTTGAAACCAATATAAATAGGGATGAGATATGTTCAGAATGGTGCTCTTTAGAATTATGATCTGGAAGAAGCTTTAGAGAGAGCTACACTAGTGTGACATGTTTAGAAAATCAGAAGGCAGGCAAATAAAAGAAGCCCCCATGAAGAATAATCCACAAATCACACATTTCAGTTAAAGTCAGGTTTAGGATGGACCTGGATTCTGAAATCAGGTGGATTATAGTCCCAAGCGTCTGGTCACAGGATAATGAGAGCCAAAGAAGGTCTGACAGACTGTTTGTTGTTTGTGCTATGGAAAGTGTTCTGAAAGTCAGTAAACAGGGGTGCCTGGGTGGCTCAGTGGGTTAAGCCTCTGCCTTCGGCTCAGGTCATGATCTCAGGGTCCTGGGATCGAGCCCCACATCGGGCTCTCTGCTCAGCGGGGAGCCTGCTTCCTCCTCTCTCTGCTTGCCTCTCTGCCTACTTGTGATCTCTGTCTGTCAAATAAATAAATAAAATCTTAAAAAAAAAAAAAGAAAGTCAGTAGACATTAGGGCTATCTGATCTTTAAGATTCCTTACATTTCAAATATTCGTTCATTAATTCATCACGTATTTATGGTTGAACATGTCCTATGTTTTAGCAACTGATTTAGCAATACAGAGAAGATCAGAACTTGCTTTTGTCTTCAAGGAGAACACAGTATTATAGGAAAATAAATGTGGGACTATTTACAGTAGAGTAAGACAATTCTTGATTGAAGTCATTTTTCCCTTTGAAGGTCACGCTGGGGGTGGCAGGGCAAAGAGGCAAGAGTTTACCTGGGGTCTAGGTGGTTCTGAATTAAAATGGTGACATGGGGCCTGGATTAGACTCACACTGCAGTGCTATGTCAACACTTTGTGTAACTTGTAAGTCATCAAATAAAAGACAAAACTGAGCTGAAATGTTGTGAATAGATATTTCTAACTATTGATATTTATTCTGTGCTAGAAAAAAAGACATGCCCAAGCCACAGTAATTATCATACTATTTAGTATTAATCTGCATAAGTATAATTGCTTTATTAAAAAGCTGATTAGATTAATGCTATTATCATGATAATGGCTAGAATCACTTGAAAAAAATACCATATTTTTTTAATAAAAAATAAAGCCCAGAATCACTGCTGTTGACAAGAGTCTGAGAGTAGATGAGACCCATTGGTGTTCAATTCATTCATCATACAGGCAGGAAAACAGTTCGGGGAGGAATATGAAAGAACATTATCTTATTTGGTGTGCAGATTATTTCTCTGAGTTACTAGTTAGCCCAGTAAACTTTTCTTTCATTAATGAGAACATTGAAATTTATTTTACTCTAAAAAGTTTCTCTTCTTTTCCCATGAAGTTTATTTATGCTTTTCATTAGGAAATTAAATATTAATCATACAGAGAAAACCGAGAACAGTGAAAAGGATAAATATCTATTCATATTTCCCCCATCTAAAATAATCACTCTTAATAACTGTATCCTTATATTTCTTCTCTATTCATATTTATGCATTTTTATTGTTTTATTGATTTGACATTGTTTAAATTGCAGTGTATCAAAAACTGTATTTTTTTTTACCTTCACTGTTTTAACATATAATGGTAAATACACAGCAGATGTATCATGCTTTTCATATCTCCTATTACTAAGTCACTTAGCAGCAGGAGAAAAGACTGGGAAAGACTCAGACGAATTCTGTGCTTGTTGTTATGTGCCCCTTTAATTAACTCATTTAATTGACATAACAACCATGTAAGGAAAATGTTCCCCCTACTTTAGAGAGATGATATCTTAGAGAAGGACTTGCCTGAGTTTATAGAGTAACCTCATGGTTACCTTGGGTATCCTTGAGATAGGAACTTAGGGCTGCAAGTCTCCTAAGAATGATCTTATACATCTCAACAGAAGCAAGAGAGAGAGAGAGAGAGAATGAAGGAACCAACTAGAGAGTTGCAGAATGGTTTGCAGAGGAGTGAGGGGATAATGAGATAATAGGTTCTTTCCAATGAACAAAGATTTTCTCAGTTTAACCTACCTGATCTAAAATTTGAGAGAATACAATCAAATAAAGGGAGCAATGGGAGGAAGAAGAAGTAGTTCAAGTTCTAGTACCGTTAAACAGATTTTCTTTTAAGCTAAGCAGTCATATGGCCACTTGAGTTATATTTTTTTTTTTAAGATTTTATTTATTTATTTGACAGAGAGATCACAAGCAGGCAGAGAGGCAGGCAGAGAGAGAGGAGGAAGCAGGCTCCCCTAGAGAACAGAGAGCCTGATGTGAGGCTCGATCCCAGGACTCTGAGATCATGACCTGAGCCGAAGGCAGCGGCTTAACCCACTGAGCCACCCAGGAGCCCCTTGAGTTATATTTTTAAACTATCTTTGGAACCTGATTATTTTAACAAGTGCTGTCCAATTGCTGTATTGTTTAAAATAAAAGCTTCTTAAATTTCTAATTAGTATTTATTTTTAAAATTTCTGTCATTTTAAGGGCCTGGTGAAGATAAAATTTTTTCTTTCTTTAGGTTGATTCTGCTTAGGCAAACTCATCAGAGGTAATTTAAATTTTATTGTTTTATTGTTGGGTAGTCAGGGTGCTAGTCTGAGAATCTGAGTTGGTAATATGCTCTTTTCCTGAAAACATAACTGAGAGATCATCCCACTTGCATGTATCTTATGAAATTCAGAGAGAAATGAGGTGAAGACTATGCATCATCTTTTTTAGACAAGTTCTATACAGAACACCTTCTGTAGCTAACTATGGCGAATTCTCTGCTGAGAGTGATTCTGCCCCCACAGGCTCTCTGGCAAACATCAAGAGACACATTTGGTTGTCATACCTCAAAGGGAAGGGAATGTTCTGGCATCTAGTGAGTAGAGGGCAGGGACACGATTAAAGATCCTATGAGGCCCAGCCCTGCCTCCTCGAACAAGAAAGGGTCTTCTCTACAATGTTAATGACGCTGTGGTCAAGAAACCTCCTCCAGAAAGGTCCTTTGAATTCTGCTCTCACTATGCAACCTGTATCATCAGAAGATAGAAAATGAAGAAAGAAATGCATAAGAATGAGGCTTAATCGGCTTAGAATAAATATTGCTTGTTTTTCTCCTCTCCTTTACTTTCAAGTTAGGTGAGGATGGCTCCAAGATACTCCCTCAGGGATTTGAAGGCGGCAGCTGCAAGATGGGAGAATGTTCTCTCACAGTAACTGGAAGTGCGCTGATTGGCAGAGACCGGCCTCCTCACCTGATTCTGACACAGGAGGAAGGCGAGGATGGAGAGTTCTCAGAAGTGCTTGACGTGCATTCCGAGTTTTAGAGTATACACGAATAAAGAAACTGCTATGGAGTCTCTTGACGGCTGCCTGGAGAATTGTAAAATTGAGAAACGGACTGGAGTGGTCTGTGATAGGCGGCCCAAGGAGGGGGCCAGTAACCAGCAGGTGGAAACTTCAACTCTCAGTCTGACAAGAATAGATGAGTTTTCTCTGGGCTAATTGAGCACCTTAAAAAGTCACTGGGCTCAAGATATTTTGGTGGGCCCATGCCCAGGGGAATAGCCTGCCTAGGTGAGAAGCCCCCAGCAGCATGAAGTTAGAGGATACCTGCCAGTAGCCGGAGACGAACGGTGGAGCGCCACAAGAGGTCAGGTGGGTATCGTTTTGCTCGCTCGAGGACATAGTAGGGTAAGAAGGTCACTGCAGGGCCTATGGAAGAGCCGTGAACATGGTCCACAAGCCAGGGAGTGTGTAGGTATCTGCCATACTGAAGGAACAAAAGATCAGATGATAAAGTGCTCTGTCCTATTTCCCACCCCATGTCTGCCCCTCAGAGCTACTACAGTGGGAGAGAAAGGAGACCACACAGCCTCCGAGAGGGAGAAAAGGAGCAAAATAAGGGGAGGAGGGAAGGGGAAGTGAAATAAGGAAGAGTGAAAGCCCGTCTTCCCCACAGATGTCTCTGAATGTGGGTCATCTGTAAATTGATGTGATGATAGACCCATCTGTAAATTGGGTATGAAATCGCAGTGTTGGTGTACACTAGGCTTTGTAACATTTGAAAGCCACTTTCAACTTCCAAAGTGTGAGTTTTTTCTCATAAATGAAGGGACTAGAAGGCGGAAGGAATCACTGAAAGTGTTGTCCCAGACCAGAAAAGACATCCAGCTCTGCATGTCTGAAGGAAGTGGTTGGAGGAAAAAATATTTCTGTCTGGTTTCCTATAGAGTTCGACCCGTTTTTTTTTTTTTTAAATGTCAGTTCTATTGGCCTTTGTCCCACACCTCATGTGGGTCAGCATCTTGTTTTAAATGTTTATGGGCGCTAAATCATTTAAGCTTTGCAATATCCCCAAAGAGAATAATTATTATCCCCATTTAAAGATGAGGAGGAAAAGGTCTGTGCAGGGTAAATAATGTATCATAATGAAAAAAGGGGATACATACTTTGTAGGTTCTGTGTTTTGAAAGTTTCTCCAATCACTAATAATTTAGGAAATAATGTGGCTGCTTCTGGAGTTCTGAACAACAGAGAAAGGAATTTTAGCATTAATAATAAAATTATTCCAATACAGAAATTAACAGGACAGTTTAACTATAAGAAAAATGGTATTCTGCTTTTCACTCAGAGTCACGTGTCCCTTGTGAGCTCCTAAGATTTTGCCCTTTTCTTACAGATTTAGAAGTTCTTCCTTTACATACTGATATAGCCATCCCCTGAAACATCCTATCCTTTAGTACTAGGGCTGTTTGCATTCTGAATTATTAAACAGGCTGACAACTGAGTTGAGTGAGAAATGAGTTTCTCTGAGTTGCATTGGAATTTCTGCAGAAGGCAGAAGAGCTCATTGAGGTGATGGTTGGTTGATTTAATATCCAGTCGCTGGTGTCCATTTCTCTACCACCAGTTACATGGCTGAGCCTCTATGTGTGGCAAAGAGGTGCTAAAATACAGCAAATTAAGAATTAGTTTTTATTAGATCCTGCTGTTTGTTTTCACTGTTTGGATCTTAAAACTCCCAGAGAGTTCTGATTCCAGGGGTGAAATGAAACCATTTTGCTACCTTATTTGTCTTTTACAAAGCCTACTAAACTAATTGTTAAATAACAAAGCATGCATCCACGGGTGTAGTAGGACAGAAGTTAATACTCATTAGCCTGAAGACTGAAGTCTAAAATGGGCTTCTTTTAAAGCATTGACAAGGATATGATTATTTACAACTGTTTATCTCCTTGGGCAAAATCAGTACCTATAAAGTATGGAAATCTGGGTTTGCATTTTTTTCAAAAGATTTAATCTATCTATTTGACGGAGAGAAAGAGATCACAAGTAGGCAGAGAGGCAGGCAGAGAGAGAGAGGCGGCTCACCACCAAGCAGAGAGCCCGATGCGGGGCTTGATCCCAGGACCCTGAGATGATGGCCTGAGCCGAAGGCAGAGGTTCAATCCACTGAGCCACCCAGGTGCCCCTGGGTTTGCAATCTTTTTTTTTATTAATTATTTTAATTAACATATAATGTACTATTTGCCCCAGGGGTACAGGTTTGTGAATCGTCAGGCTTACACACTTTACAGCACTCACCATATCATATATCCTCCCCAATGTCCATAACCCAACCACCCTCTCCACACTCCACCCCCACCAACCCTGTTTGGTTTGTAAGATTAAGAATCTCTTATGGTTTATCTCCCGATCCCATCTTGTTTCATTTTTCCCTTCCCTAACCCCCAAGCCATGCATTGTGCCTTTCAAGTTCCTCATATCAGGGAGATCATATAATAATTGATCAAATAATACTGTCTAGTTCCATTCACGTCATTGCAAATGGCAATATTTCATTTCTTTTGATGGCTGCATAGTATTCCATTGTATATATATCTTCTTTATCCATTCATTTGTTGATGGACATCTAGGTTCTTTCCATAGTTTGGCCATTGTGGACATTTCTACTATAAACATTCAGGTGCATGTGCCCCTTTGGATCACTACATTTGTATCTTTAGGGTAAATACCCAGTAGTGTGATTGCTAGGTCATTGGGTAGCTCTATTTTCAACTTTTTGAAGAACCTTCGTACTGTTTTCCAGAGTGGCTGCACCAGCTTGCATTCCCACCAAGAGAGTAGGAGTGTTCCCCTTTCTCCACATCCTCTCCAATGTCAGTCATTTCCTGACTTGTTAATTTTAGCCATTCTGACTGGTGTGAGTTGGTATCTCATTGTGGTTTTGATTTGTATTTCCCTGATGCTGAGTGATGTGCAGCACTTTTTCATTTGTCTGTTGGCCATCTGGATGTGTTCTTTGCAGAAATGTCTGTTCATGTCCTCTTCCCATTTCTAGATTGGATTATTTGTTCTTTGGGTGTTGAGTTTGATAACTTCTTTATAGATTTTGGATACCATGCCTTTATCTGATATGTCATTTGCGAATATCATCTGCCATTCTGTCAGTTATCTTTGGATTTTGTTGACTGTTTCCTTTGCTGTGCAAAGGCTTTTGATCTTGTTGAAGTCCCAATAGCTCATTTTTGCCCTTGCTTCCCTTACCTTTTGTGATGTTTATAGGAAGAAGTTTCTGCAGCTGAAGTTGAAGAGGTTGCTGCCTTTGTCCTCCTCAAGAATTTTGATTCATTCCTTTCTCACACTGAGGTCATTCATCCATTTTCAGTCTATTTCTGGGTGGGGTGTAAGGAAATGGTCCAGTTTCATTCTTCTGCATGTGGCTGTCCAATTTTCCCAACACCATTTGTTGAAGAGACTGTCTTTTTTCCATTGGACATTCTTTCTTGCTTTTTTGAAGGTTAGTTGACCATAGAGTTGAAGGTCTATTTCTGGGCTCTCTATTCTGTTCCATTAATCTGTGTGTCTGTTTTGTGAAGTACCATACTGTCTTGATGATTACAGCTTTGTAATAGAGCTTGAAGTCTGGGATGGTGATGCCACCAACTTTGGCTTTCTTTTTCAAAATTCCTCTGGCTATTTGGGGTCTTTTCTGGTTCCATATAAATTTTAGGATTCTTTGTTCCATTTCTTTGAAAAAAATTGATCATAGTTTGATAGGGATTGCATTAAATGTGTAGATTGCTTTAGGTAGCATAGACATTTTCACAATACTTGTTCTTCCAATCCATGAGCATGGAACGTTTTTCCATTTCTTTATGTCTTTCTTAATTTCTTTCATGAGTACTATATAGTTTTTTGAGTACAGATTCTTTGCCGCTTTGGTTAGGTTTATTCCTAGGTATCTTATGGTTTTGGGTGCAATTGTAAATGGGATTGACTCCTTAATTTCTCTTTCTTCTGTCTTGCTGTTGGTGTATAGAAATGCAACTGATTTCTGTAAATTATTTTATATCCTGACACTTTACTGAATTCCTGTATGAGTTCTAGCAGCTTTGGAGTGGAGTCTTTTGGGTTTCCCACATAAAGTATCATATCATCTGCAAAGAGTGAGAGTTTGACTTCTTTGCCAATTCGGATGCCTTTAATTTTTTTGTTGTCTGATTGCTGAGGCTAGGACTTCCAGTACTATGTTGAATAGTAGTGGTGATAGTGGACATCCCTGCCATTTTCCTGGCCTTAGGGGAAAAGCTCTCAGTTTTTCTCCATTGAGAATGATATTCGCTGTGGGTTTTTCATAGGTGACTTTGAGGATATTGATGTATGCACTCTCTATGCCTACCCTTTGAAGAGTTTTGATCAGGAAAGGATGCTGTACTTTGTCAAATGCTTTTTCAGCATCTACTGAGAGTGTCATATGGTTCTTGTTCTTTCTTTTATTAATGCATTGTATCACATTGATTGATTTGTGGTTGTTGAACCAACCTTGCAGCCCAGGAATAAATCCCACTTGGTCGTGGTGAATAATCCTTTTAATGTACTGTTGGATCCTATTGGCTAGTATTTTGGTAAGAATTTTCGCATCCGTGTCCATCAAGGATATTGGTCTGTAATTCTTCTTTTTGATGGGATCTTCATCTGGTTTTGGGATCAAGGTAACGCCAGCCTAATGAATTGAGTTTGGAAGTTTTCCTTCCATTTCTATTTTTTGCAACAGTTTCAGGAGAATAGGCATTAATTCTTCTTTAAATGTTTGGTAAAATTCCCCTGGGAAGCCGTCTGGCCCTGGGCTCTTGTTTGTTGAGAGATTTTTGATGACGGCTTCAATCTCCATACTGGTTATGAGTCTGTTCAGGTTTTCTATGTCTTCCTGGTTCAGTTTTGATAGTTTATATGTCTCTAGGAATGCATCCATTTCTTCCAGATTGTCAAATTTGCTGGCATATACTTGCTTATAATATGTTCTTATAATTGTTTGTATTTCTTGGGTATTGGTTGTGATATATCCTCTTTCACTCCTGATTTTCTTTATTTGGGTCCTTTCTCTTTTCTTTTTGATAAGTGTGGCCAAGGGTTTATCATTTTATTAATTCTTTCAAAGAACCGGCTCCCAGTTTCATTGATCTGTTCTACTGTTCTTTTGGTTTCTATTCCATTGATTTCTGCTCTGATCTTTATTATTTCTCTTCTCATGCTGGGTTTTGGCTTTCTTTGCTGTTCTTTCTCCAGCTCCTTTCAGTGTAGGGTTAGTTTGTGTATTTGAGACCTTTCTTGTTTCTTGAGAAAGGCTTGTATGGCTATATACTTTCCTCTCA